CCCCCCCCCTCCCCTTCGCTAGTTTTCCAGCTGAATTTCCGGTTAATAAGGGTGTAACACAGGTTGAAGGAACTTTCTCCATCAGGCCCAAACGCTCGGTGAAAGTGTTTCTTGTACGCGTCTCCGCGTGCAACGGAGTCCGAATGTCCGCTTCGCTATCGGGATCGTTTCTCAAGCGGAATGATAATGTCAGGTATTTCGTGGAAACGTTATTGGCCGTTACTTTGTAGATCACTGCTCCATATTTTACATATTGCTCCGTCATCTTATGTTCTAAAACGTTAAAGAAAATATTAGAGATGAACATTTTATGTTGTAAATAATGTTGTAATATTAATTATAGTATATATATAAATAAATATATAAATAATATAATTATAGTATATATATTATAGTAAATAATATAGTATATATTATAGTAAATAATGTAAATTATAGTATATTTATATATTATAGGATTTTATTATATTAATATTAAAATACACATCTTAATAAAAATTATAGAGAGAGGATTTTATTCTCTTTGAAGTAACATACATTTAAATAATTAAAAATGAAAAATATCTTAAGGATATAAAATTTTACATTCATGGATCAACGACTTAAATCGATCTCATATAAAGTTATTCAAATTTAAACTGTGATATGACTCGCTGGAGAAACAGAAAAAATCGAGATAATTACTTTCCTTCTAGCAGGAAATTAGCGTCGTCGATATCACTGGAATAAATTGAACAAAGCGTGTCAGTGGTGAATTTCTCCGTGGGTGGAGAAGCGCGACTTTCGATCTCTTTTCGCCGTCGAATTCAACGCACTGCTTGGCGGCGGATTTATTGAAATTTTATGGAAGCGGATCGTACTTTCTTTCGTCGTGCATGGCGGCGAAGGTCGCTCTTTTCACCAGCAAACGAGAGAACTGCTGTGACGAATAGCAGATACATATGACGGAATCGTCGCACGTAACAGCGAGTTGCTTCGATAAATAATTGATCTTGAAATTCGCACATACTACGTAACGATATTTGCAAACCTGTAGTATTACTCATGTGAATAAATGTACTAAATAACGTGCTATTTGATTAATTTTACGACTATATTAGGAATTCATTTATATCATTAAATTGTAACTCGAGATTTTACTAATTAAGTAAATTATTAAATTCTATTTCTGTATATATTTAGTGGTATATCACTAAATTAAATCTATATGAATGTATCTAATAACGCACTATTCATTATTCACTATTAATAATTATCGAAGATTTGTGGGGCATTATTTTTATTTCACAAAAGGAATATTTTTATGAATTTTTATGTAATCCATTGTGTTTTCTACACTCGATTATAGTAACAAAACTCTCAATAGTTTAGGGAAAATCCGAGATAAATCCGTATGAAACGAGTGAAACAAAGGAATATCACATTACGACATTTTACAGACAAGGAAGTAAACTTGCCGGGCGGTGAGAAAGTCACGTCGCTCGAACAGCATATGAAATTTTAATCAGAACGTAACGCTTGAACGAAAAAGGTATGTCGAGCTTAAGTGATACGTTACATGTGACAGTAATAAGAAAAAAAATCGGTTTACATAATAAACACGAAAGTCTAGTTTATTTTAGTCACAGGAAGATACAATATTTCTCTATAAGGTGATTTAGGAAATTTGAAGAGTTTTCTACTTGGAGTTGATGTTTCTTCAATGAGAGCATGAAAGAGTTTATAATAATCGAGTCATGAGTAATGAAACGTGAGCTTTTTGATATTTAGCTCTAAAAAAAAATACATCCCGAGAGCTTTTAATTCTCCTTATTTCGAATGTAGTTTTTACGTTTCTAGCTTGACAATATTTCAAATAGGGATATAATTATTCATTTATCTAATTTTGTAAGGAATACTTTGGTAGAAGAAAGAAAAAATTAATAATAAACAAAGAACTGTTAACGATAGAGTCTCATAACGTAAGTCATTGATTGGCGCCCGATGATTACCCTTCCCCTTCTACTGAATATTTCTTATTTCCTTTGTAGGAGAGGGGCGAGGATATACTTAAGCGCCAAGTATCTACCTAGTTATGTCATTGTCCAAGTATTCCAAGATATCGGAAAGTGATTATCTTTGTTATTCTTAGCTAATTGTCGACTCGCCCGCTTAATTTATGATCTTGTTGGAATTCTCTTCACGCTCGAATGCGTGATTATTACGTCAATCGATCCAGTAACATCCGTCTAGTAATCATTTTTAGCTTCCCATACTTTATGCGTCTTTGGAGATGTTCCTCACGCATGGAGATGTCACGTGAGATCGTGTTAGAGCAGAATTGCGTTGTTGCAAAACACCGAAGATAACGACTAAGAAGAAACTATAAATAGAAAAAATATATTAGAAATATATAACAGATAAGTATATGGTTGTGCTCAGAGATCTTTCTAAATTCCTCTCCTCATTTCTGTGAACAGTTTTTGCAAATTTTCATTTTGCAATTATTCCGAGAGAAAGAATCGCGACACTTTCAAAATAGGGAAGTGAATTCCACTCGAGCATTTCGCAAATGGAGAAAGAAAAGAAGCATTACAAATCTCAGAGCGAGATTTCACCGTTTTTAATAAAGATGTCTTGTCAACTTCTCAGAGTTCGTCTCCCGGAAACGAAAGAGAGAAGGATGAGAGTTTCAATGTTTTAGAATAACGCGATAAGCATAATCGAAATCGAATCGTCTGTTAAATCAATCTTTTGAGATCTAGCATTTTACACGTCGTTTTACATCGTTTTATTTTTTCTGAACTTTTATATGTTCCTTACTCAATATAAATTTGCTTTCTTCTTCAATGTACAAAATCCTTCAGGATACATATCCTTCGCACAACAAGATTTCGCACTATCAAGTATGTATCCTACAATTCCGTCTGGGAGAAGCAGACGTAGGTAATAAACTCTTCTATCTATATAGTATCTGATGGTTGAATAATGGAAAGTATATGATTCGCTTTCTGCCGGCAGATCTCCGCGGGATGATCTTCCGGAATATGATCGACAGATCGAATTAATTACTTTTCACGCTACATTATACATTCCGTGCATTCGCGTTTTGCCTTTAATCGGCGCGATCTTCATTCTGCACGCTGTGAGATTCATCGAAGTACATCCTGTTTCCCTGGCAATTGAAACCTGCAATTACGTCTTCCGGAATAATGGAACAAAATTCTGGACTTTGTGAGCCTCGCCGGGCGTTATTTATTGCGCGCTTTTATTTTCTTTAAAACTTGAACATGTAAAAGATTTAATTATTAATTTAATCGCGAGATTTTCATTTATACCATTTTCAATACTATTTATTTTCCAATGCTATTGTATATCGAAAAAAAGGAAATTTGTGTATAATATTCATCTTTAATATTAAGCCGAATATTTAGATTGAAATGCTGACAAATTTTTGATTCACTTAACATCAGAAATTGAGTGTCAAAAGCAATAGTTCCAAATTAACTTGAGCCGTTAGCATTTATATTCAAGTATACCTGATTTTATTGAGTTCCTTTCTTCAAAAGCGCTTCGTCTCGAGGATTTTCAAGCAGGTGCATCCTGTAGAAGGAACGCGCGATAGTACAGCAAGGAGGTCTCCCACTACCTTGAGGAGGACCGAATCCACTTCATCTGGTGGAGGCAACTTTCAGCGGGACACGCTATATAAGAAAGTGACATGTCGGCCGGCCAAGATAAAGCACGCGCGTGTTGTCATCGATCCCCCAGGGTGTTTTGCTTGTCCTGTCGATCGTCCCGCTACCTTCGTTACTGACAGGTAAGTGGGCCTTATAGCAAAAATCAGTGAGAAACTTCTACGTCAGTGAAGTGCACCCTGAAGGACCAAAGGACCTCCGACGTCCTACTGTCGTCGTATAGTGTTCGATCGACCATCGTTTGTCCTGAACAGAAATATGGAGATTTTTAACAAATCGTGTTTTTGACTTCGCGCTACTGCTGTGCTCGATATTGATTTTTCGATCATTATAATCCTTCAGGTGGTACTTCGATAGATTGTTTCGATGGAATAAAGTATCGTTAACGTGCATGTATATGGAAATAAGTTTTAGTAGTTTCCGAGAGTGTATATTTTACTTATCAGGATACATTTATATGTATTCTGATTAGACTTTAACAAAGTAGAAATTCTAAGTTTGTCAGATAACAATTAAGACAGGAAGCTAGATAAAGAAAAATAAAGATGATAATATATTTGGTTACACACTCGCTATTTTATCATTTATTCTACCATTGCACCCCGCCGGTTTTTTTCTTAAAATATTATGTCTAGTGTGTTTCAAGAAGAGGACTCTAGAAATTTTCCTTTCAAACTCCAGAAAGTTTCTCTCTCTTTCTCTTCCAAAAAGCCTCAGAACTGGTACAGAACTAAAACAAAATATTAAAGCACTATCAATATTATTTTTTGAATCGGTGTTATTCATTTTCTTTTCTGGAATGACTAGAATTTAACGCTCGAGCGAATATTATAAGAATGTTATCGGTATTCTTGGGTTAATGACTCGACTATCGGGATATACGCAGCGCGATTTAAATGATCGACTTCCTTATCTTGCAACTCCCCAAGCTCGCGAATGATTTCGCGGAGTGCCAACCGGTTCTCTCCGGCTGCTCGCCAGGCACGTGTCATAATTCCTGTTCCACCGTGCGTGACCGAGTTAATTTCATAAAACTCTCGAGACTGACGGTGCTCCCCACCCCATCATTGGCACGAAACAATGTTACCGCCGGAGAGAAAGTACTTCTGTAACTCGCTGTTGCGCCCGTTCGAATTTTTCTTTTAGCGAATTTTTGCGTTTTGTATGTACGCGAATCAGCTTAATTAAAATACCGCGGAGAATCAATTTAACGGTTGATATACAAAATGTGAGAGAAACCGTGTCGGGAAACTAGAATATTGGAATGTTACGATTAGAATATTAGTTTATAGTAAATTTGCGATGCAACATGAGCACAATTTCTGCAAACGTAAAATTATTTGGAAATATATTCCTTTTAGAAAGGATAATTTTCTCATCGTATCCGAGATAAGAAATTCGATCAAACAGTGACTTGTTTAAAATTGCTACGTTCACCCTATGTAAAGTTATAACCTTGATACACAACATACAATAGTCATTCCTTTCTATGACTCTTTAGTCCGGTTAGCCTTAATGAGAGATTGTATTCCACTGAATGCCTTTTTCTATTCGCGATTCGACTGGAAACATAAAAAGTTTTATAGATATACTCAGTACATGGGCAAATAAGTGCATTCTTTAAACCGCCCTGTTGCAAAATCAGAGATCTGTTAATAGCGATGTGAATGCCAGAAGTCGTATTGATCGGTGTGTCGTGTCTCACACGCATGAAATTTTGCAAAAATGTCGCTCGGTGGCGGCTGCTCCAGATTTCCTTAAGCTGACCGGTTGACTCGCGAGAGTTACACGTCTTATACTATACAACCGCCTTCGTTAGTCGCTGGACAACTATCTCTTTATCCATTATGCAATATTGCTTTCTTTTCGCGGCAAGCGGAAAGCCAGCTGCCACGAGGAGAACGCCTTTTTGACGTGCGTTATAATGATTTCGATAAATGAATTATTATATATAATGTAAACGATACATGAGCAGTTTATACATGTTATGCGAATTAATCACAGTCTTCATGTATATCTGGAATAAAAAAGCCGACATTTACAACATTTGGGCTTGTATTAATAGTTGTATAAAACCTGTCTCATATAAAAAATCTGAGTTTTTCGCTTAAATCATATAATATATGCAACGTTTTTGTGAAAAATTACAATTGCATTCTTAATTCGAAATCATCATTTCGTAATTTCGACGATTTCACTCAGTGATTTGCAAGATATTTTTTTCCTTGAAAGTACGATGCACACATAACGCCATAATGTGTTTCAATTTTCCTATGAAATGAAAGCTCTCTGAGGATAATAATCGTTCGAGCGATCTTATTAATGGAGAAAGTTTCCGCGATTTTCCTGTCGGCGAAATCGGAGAAACCGATCGATAAACGAGCAAAAACGATTATTTAGTAGAATCGACCTCTTGATCGCTGCGATTTTCGTGCAACTCTTCAAGGAGAGCCGGAGCATTCATCGTTACCTAAAATAATATATGTATTTGTAAAAATTGCAATGTAATATATATATATATATATATAGTAGAAATCTTCTGTGAGGCAAATATTAACGATACATTTAACGCATTCAATAAAAGAGTTCGTCTTTGACATTAAATCTGGAGAATGCCGGGATGCCTCAATTAACATAACCTACGTAAGAGGATTTTATTTCTTCCACGATTTTCAAGAACGCGAGGAATACGATATTTGAGTGAAAAAGAAGATGAAAAAAATTCATTGCGCACCTCGTAGAAGCGACCATGGCCTTGACGGATGACGTAAAGGAGATTCACGTTACCGTTTCATAACCTTTGCATCGCTTCGGTCATTATCTGTCGCTTATGGGAGACACCGGCCAAACCTTACGACACGATTATTACATGCCATACACACCGTCGAACCTGATACATGTCATTTTTCCATACGACCCCTCTCACTTTCACTCTGATCGAATTAATCGCCGCCGGAGACCCTCAGCCAACAAAACTAGCCGCGACTGTGACGTTCGTTAAACGCGACACTTTCCCGCCTCGTTGCGATTATCGATTGGCCAATCGACACGCCATTTTTACGCAACATTGGCGCGATTTCCGGTATTGGCTTTTCTCTCTCGATGTGATCAAGCATCGACGGAATGTTATTGAAGTGTGTCGTGAAAATTATTCTTGATATTTAATTTATACTTTTGAGAGGCATGTATACATACGCATCTTCTAACTAATTATTACATCTCCCTACACGATTAACGCGGTCTTTCGCGTGAAGTTATCTATAGATCGAACGTAGAGACGCGCGCGCCTTCGAGATCTCGAGAAAAATGACGTTACGCAAGGCGCGTTATTACATAGAAAATAGTGAATTACTTTGACCTATGTTTTACTTACGTAACGTGCATTGCTTTTTCGGAATGTTCAGCGATTCTCTTCCTCTTTCACGCAGGTTTATTATTTCATTGATGATAACGAGCAAATGCCAAGTCTCGATAACGCAATATGCATTCGAACTAGCCTTGCAGTTATAACGAAAATGATTGAGATATACGAGAAATTAGCTGAAATCGATAAATAACCAGCAAATAGAGATGAAAGATATAGAACTCATATTTGAACTATTTGTAAGTTTAGCAAGAAAATCTTTTTGTGACGTCCGCCCCTAGATTATAACCAGATTAATAATTAATAATAGAACCTAAAGTTTCTCTCTCTTCTTCTACAAATATTGTTAGAATGTTCCTGCAGTAAATTTTATATAGTACAGACAATTTTCTAGCAGATGAAAAAAACAGCGATAAATTGTAACTGTGTATATTCTCCCTACGCACAAAAAAAAATTTCAGTTGGTGCAACCAAATAGAAATCAATTGAAAATTAGATGATCAGAAACGATCGTCAGATCTCTATTATGAAAAGTAATATTTCTGTTGTCGCAACCGTAAATATTCGTCTGAAAATTCAACGATATTAGAACTCGGTTGAGGCAACTGAGAACAATTGACTATACAGAAGCCTCATAAAAGAATTTTTTTGTTCCTACAGCCGAGTTTTCGTCTGATCTCTGAGCAACCGAAAATTCGATTGCACCAACATAATTGTTTTTTCCGTGTAGGCCAACAAAACATTTTTTTAAGTGTTCCCGTGCACTCTTCACTTGTCATCTTGTTTTGCGCAATTTTCGCAAAAGAGGCATGACTACAATGACTGCGCGTCATCTCTATCGAAAAATATAAATCATATTAATCTGATCATTTTCATATTCGATTTACCCCTGTTGGATATTCGAAATCGTCTTGAAACCGACGAGAAAATACGGTTGACTTACATTTCATGTGCAAAACACGCTTCTGCAAAACGTACATATCATCCGAAAGCGACTACGGTGACGGCGAAAGGAGATTCGCTAGATGGTTCGCGGTTTGAATATCGGTGGCTAAGTATGAATGAGATCTCGCAATGAGAATCGATCGCGCTGTCGGAAAGCAGGTGCGAGGAAAGCGTGTTACTTTCTAAGTACGTAAAACTCGGACGGCGGTTTCACGTTCGGCTAAGGCCATTTCGGTCGTGACGGACGATGACGCGCTTGACGAGCTCGAGTGCTTTCCATAATAATTGTTCAACGGTCATGTGGCGTATACGCATTTGGAAAGCCAGTTTCTAATTGCTTCAATCCGAGTCGCGACAATACGGCGTGATAAACGATGTCACAGGTGTTTTTACACCTGTCAATTTTTACCATCGACGAAACCAACATCATTGTGTTTTGATGAATGAGTTTCTGGACTTCTTTTAGACTTTTTTTAAAACTTGGTGCATGTTACGAAATAGAAATTGAAATCACATTTTAACATCGTTAGATCAGTAAAAAAGAAAAACATTTCTTCGGCAAGAGATCGTAGCCGCACTTTCTCGCAAATCAGTATCCATTAAATTCATACGCATGCACGTGCTCACGCATGCACGTGCGCACGCGAGGGGAAAGTGCCCTTGGCCGTCGATATCCTCAAAACACGGCTGTTGGCATACACGTGGAAAGACGCGAACGAAATCGAAAGCGCGCCGGTGACATCGTCGTTTAATTCAAATTTAAAATACGTGAAATTCTCTTCCCAATGGCTTAAATGTATTACACATTGTGTGACGTCAGAAACGAGGAGGCTTTTTGATAAACTAATACGTAAACATGAATTCATAATATCAAATTAATCGAAGAAATTATTGAAGGAATTGGTTCTTATAGGAGTATAACATGTGTACATGCCTATAAAAACAATTTTAAAACAAAATCAAAGAACGCTGAGTTTCTCTCCAATTACTAGGATTTCTCTTTATGCACAATATTAAATATCAAGTATCATTTCTTATGTTTTACAGGATGTACTGGGTGTTCCTGGGGTTTCTGAGCTCTGCCGTCGCGGCGCAGAGTTCTTATGACTTAGAAACCAGAGCGGTTTCATTCCCGGGAAAGCCGAGTCTAGGACCGCTTTATTCAGCTGGCTTGAGCTCAGGCCAAGGATTTCGCGACAATAGTTATGAAGACAATGCAGTGACGCCTACGCCTTCACCGACGCCAATCTTCAGGAATTCTAATCAGCAACCAGTAAGTGTCGCTTTAATTTTTCTTTAATTTCAAATGTACATTTTATATCTTTCTGCATCGTACACTTCTCAGTCTATTGTGCAAAAACCATACAACGCACGAAAAAGTTCAAGATTAATTTCTTCTACCAATCTAATATTATAAGTTTATATATAATTTTATTGTCTATTAATAAGATACCTATTACATAACACAGTTATATCGCAAGCCAACGGCATCACCGATCGACACTCGCGATTATTCTCAAGCAATTCGCGTTGGTTCCAACCAACGCGCTCCTCCTCGAGGAGGGCCCACCCAGGAGGAACTCGAAGAGGAGAAGGAGGAGCCTGATCGTCTCACTCTGCTTCTGCCTCAGAGTAGATTTGATTGTGTCAACAAGCAGACTGGCTATTACGCTGACGAGGATCTTAACTGCGAAGTCTTCCACTACTGCCAAGACAATGCCAAGCACTCCTGGATCTGTCCCGAGGGTTTTACCTTCCATCAGGTCTGTGAAAAGAAATATGACTACTGAAACAAATAATTATACTTACAGTCTACAATTCTCTGACGCAAATTCACTTGAAATTAGGAGCAAAATCAAATATCCTTTACGTCATTAGGTACATCTGATTTGTATGCCACCCAGCGGCGACATCAGCTGCAAGAAGAGTTCGCAATATCATTTTGTCAATGAGTACCTGTACAAACCGTTGAACCAGCAGGAAGCTGAGACCAAGCCCAACGTCACTCTGAGGTACAGCGAGAGGTATTACCCTTCTGACATTCACTCAGACGAAAGAGAAGTCGGTGACTATCAGATTACTCCCACATCAGCTCCGGTGCGTCGTCCTGCTCCACAGGTACATGAAATTTAATAACAGAAATTTAGAATTAGTATAGATTTAGGAATAACAAGAGTTTTAGAATTTAGTTGAAACTTGAAATCATGTAATTTCATATCTTTGAGATTTTTTCGGACTTTCCCGAATTATATACTGCAGAATTTGAATCTGTCCGCTTTATTCATTGCTTTTTGCCTCACTAAATAATAACTGCGAAATAATTTTATGGCTGCTTTTAGTCGACTATACATTGACACCTTAACGATTAGGTCTTGTACAGGTCCTTGTGAGCCCACAGTCCTCGAGTTTCAACAGTATCCCCACATCAGCCCGTCCGCAGCCCACGGGACAATATCAGCTCCCGTTAAATCAGGTATTCCGCAGCCCCGAGGAGGTCAACATTCCCCTTCAGTATAGAAGACCGCAGTCGCAGCAGCATCAAGCTATCAGACGATTTCCTCAAGTCCGGCCGGATGAGGAAGACTACGAGTAGATTCTTAGAACTTGCAATTTTTTAATTTGCTCGAATTCTTCCGTTCACAAATAGTCTCTATAGATCGATCATTAATGTTTTTCGATACATTTATTTATGCGATGTCTTTCTTACAAAAGTCCAACCAGAAGTGTTGAAATTCGAGTCTTTAGGTCATCCAAATTTTTATGTTAAAATACTCACGAATATTTATACTGTTATATTCTTAGAAATGTACAAAAAGAGAACAAAGTAGCCAGAAAAATTAATTGCAATATATACAACTTTATAGGGAGTGAGTTTATTTAAAAGTATTATGAATGTTTATTCGCGTATGCGTGGGTTGCAAGTCCATTCGCCTTTGTCGAAATTTCTTTATCCTGTAAAACATTTTTCCCCGCAGGATCTTTTCAATGATATTTGTAACCAATAAGATTAATTAGCGTTAAGAGAGACGATGAGTCTCATTCAATTCTTTTTGTCGAATTAGTTAACGTTATAATGTAAGACTAATGCGAGGATAATTTAATTTGTGGCGCAATTATTGTGTGAAGATATAACTTAATTATTGTAAATAAAAAAAAATTAATTAAACGATATGTTAAGTTCGCCTGTACTCTTAATGGAACTCAAGAAAACTCGTACATCTTAATTACGTGGATTACAATAATTTGAGACGATAAGTTTAACGTCGACGTTAATTGTCCGATCTTTTTACTGAACGTTAATTCTGAAAAGATACAGCAATACCAAGGAAATACGGCGAATCTTTTTACTAGAAAATTTAACTAAAGCACGGCAATTTAATAAGATGTGTTATAATTATACACAATTGTCATATGTAACAGTTTAGTTCGCACCTCTTGTATATTACACTATGGCAGTTTAAGCAGATTCTTTCGTCCGCCAAGTAAGAGGCACTGTCTTTATGGTAAGACTGAGCAAACCGTAACTTTCTTTCAAACTTAAACACATGCATACATACACGTTGAACACATCTGTTAAGTATAACATTGGTAGTATCACATATCGAAAACAAACAGAATCAGCGTTTGCATGGCTTCAGCGTCTCCGCGGTTCTGCGTCTCCAATGTACGTCACTCTGCTTCTTTTTGTCGTTGTCCTGAAAATCTTTTGGCAGTGTCGTGCAATGATTAGTCGTTGTCGAATTGCTACTGGCTGGGATGTCGTATATATATTCGTCAGATTGTTGAACAATGTGCTTTTTGATGGTGGAAACACAATTGAACTGTTCGTCTCTGGGAGAAGTGGCATCTGAATGCTCTTTAGATTCGGAAATCCTGTTCCTTCCTCGAGCACTTTTATCTGCCTTTCCCGTCTTGTCTTCATCCTGGTGACACTTCTCCTCACAGATTGTAGATTCTTTGTGACTTATTGTCGTCCTCAGAGAAGACGATTCGGTTGCGATAGAAATGGAGTTGTCTCGAAGTTCGAGTTGGTTATCGTTGTCGTTGTTGGGATAGGAATTGACTTTGGAGTTTCTGTCTTTCAGATAGTTATGCACAAAATAATTATGACTACTGGCACTTTGCGGATACAGTTTTTCCTGGATGCGACAGTTGATTACAGCCGCCTCGGCGATAGGGATCGGTTCCATATATGTGAACATTTTCTTGCAAGTTCGCTCTTCCGGCCGCTTGGCGCTAATGGGTCCATTGATCACCGACACCGCATTGCTCACTTCAGCCGTTGTCCTTATCACGGGCGTGATGTTGCCCATAGGATCCAGACGCGAGTTGATCTGATGCGAGCTTGCGCTTGAGTTCGCGTTTATCTTGCCGGGGCTCTTTGGCTGTATTTTTTTCGACTTTTGCTTTTGCCGAGATTGCTGATTATTGCTCTTTATTGAACAACTTCGGTCTGCTCTAACAACAGTCTGAGCTACTTTATTGTTCATTTCGCCGCAGTTGGAATCCTCCGAATGGTGGTGTCTTATGTGTCGGTTTAAATTATCCTTTCGCCTGAATTGCGTTTGGCAGTATTTGCAGGAGAATGGCTTCTCATCTGTGAAAAACGAATAAGTTTATCAATATTCAAAGATTGATTTTGTACAAGAATTGTAATAATATTTCATTCAAGTTTGAGATTATATGAAACGATAAATTACACACCTGAATGCACGACCAAATGTCGTCTCAGTTCGCTTTTCGATAAGAAAACTCGGTTGCAATGGGCGCAAGAGAATGGCCTTTCTTTCCCGTGAATTCGTTTGTGCCGAATTAATAAGGACCTATCTTTAAATTTCTTGTCACATTGATCGCACAGGAATGATAGTTCTTCTACAATAATGATCGTTAACTTATAAGTCAGCAGCTTTCTACTTAGTGAAGAAAGGATTCTTCTTCGAGAAGCTTTGAGCGACATGTTAAATGACATCAAATATTATTAATACAACATTTTCTGGTACTTACCCGTATGTGTTCGTTTATGGCGATTAAAATTGGCCAGCATACGGAAAATTTTGCCGCAGGACTTGTCGCGGAATTTGTAATTGCAGGTATATATAGTTCTCGCGTTGTGTTCGTTTCTGTGATTCTTTAGATCATCATTTTTACTATACCGCTTGTTGCATATGGAGCATACAAACCGCTTTTCCTCTGGAATGTGCAGCAATAATTGCAGTTACGTTATATATATATTTGTTATATATATATATATATTTTTTTTTTTTTTTTTTTT